TTTTTAAAACCCTGGTGGCCTGAGCCACCTGCTTGAAGCAGATAGCACAGGTGCAGAAAATGAGCTGCCGTCTGAAAAACGCAGCCAGTTGCCGAGCCTTCCCTGGTGAGACAGCAACAGCTCCAGCGGAGAGCTACAGAGCATGTGAACGCCTCCATGCACTCGGATTGAAGCTCTGTTTTCACAGGTGATAAAATACCTCTCAAAATTCTTAAAGGATCATATTCTTAATAACCAAAGGTAGAGATTACCTTAGTCTTTTTCCCAACTTAAAAAAAAAAAAAAAACTCCCTCTAGAATTTATTTTAGAAAATATATAAAGATACAAAGAACAAAATAAATGTCGCTGATCTCTTGACTGATCCACACATATATTTTTGCAAAACAAAATTAGGTATGGCGTGGTGACATGGCACGGTGACAAATCCATAATGACGGTCCCCTTTTGGCTTCTTGCTCTTTGCTTGCTTGCTCGCACACGTGGTTGCTTGAGATAAAGTCTTACTGTGTAGCCCACACTGACCTCAAACTCGTGACAAGCCTCCTGACTTAGCCTTCCAGGTGCTACAATCAGACTGTAACTACAATCAGGTGCAACAGCAGACTTCAGTGACGCTCACTGAAGTCCCCGCACTCTGGTCTTCCTGCCACCCAGAGCTCACACAGTCAGTCAGCATCTATCTTTATCATCGTTTCTCATGGCTGATCCCGCACACACATTGCCAGCCCTCTGGAAAAAGTGCTCACCTGTCATACAGTTTTCACACCATTCCGACAGGCCTCCATCCCCTCCCCTCCCCTCCATGAACGCCCGAGGCGCTCCAGCTCAGCTGTGTCTCTGGGTGACACATGACGTGACTGACCTTCTCGAATGTCTTCCTTTCCGTAAGAACACGTCATCTTGTACCTTCCTGAGTATCCGTGTCTTCCACCTCCCTTCTCCTTTTATATTCTCCTACCTGTCCTTACAAAGTCCCCAAGGATTTTTTTTTTTAATTGCTTGTTTACTTATAAGACAGTGCCTCAAACTAGACATCCTCCTGCCTCAGCCTCTTTGGTGCTGGGATTGCATATACCATGACAGCCAACACCCAGAGTATAAAATTATTTAGATGATTTCCACTCTTTTTAAGTAGCAAAAAAAAATTACCCATGTTTTAAAATTAGGTATACCTTGCCAAGAATAGGGGTTCACAGTTTTAGTCAGAGCAGTTGGGAGGCAGAGGCAGGAGGATCTCTGTGAGTCTGAGTCCAGGATGGCCAGAGTTACACAGTGAGACCCTGCCCTGAAAAAGAAACAAAATAAAACTGAGGTATAACAACTGCTTAGAAAATGCAGCTGCCTACAATGGCTACCTACCTCTATTAAGGTATCTCTTTTCTTGTTCTCTCTATTCATCCCCCAATTCACTTTCCTGATCCCTCATAGGTTTAAAGAGAAATCTGGCACTAGGGAAATGTCCAGAGATCCACAAGGATGACCCCAACTAACAATCTGAGCAATAGTGGAGAGGCCACCTTTCTCTGATAATGAGATTGATAACCACCTTATGTGCTATCCTAGATCCTTCATCCAGTAGCTGATGGAAACAGAAGCAGAGATTCACAGCTAAACACTGAGCCAAACTCCTGGAATCCAGTTGTAGAGAGGAAGGAGGGATGAGCAAAGGGGTCAAGACCATGCTGGGGAAACCCACAGAAACAGCTGACCTGAACAAGTGGGAGCTCATAGACCCCAGTCTGACAGTTGGGGAACCATATTGGACCAAAATAAACCCCCTGAATATGGATGTCAGATAGGAGGCCTGGGCAGTCTATGGGGCCTCTTGTGGTGGAACCAGTATTAATTCCTAGAACATGAATGGACTTTGGGAGTCCATTCCCTATGGAGGGAAACTCTTTCAGCCTAAAGTCACAGGGGAGGGCCTAGGCCCTGCCCCAAATGGTGTGACAGACTTTGGGGAGTGGATGGGGGTGGGATGAGGAAGGGTTGGTGAGGGGCATGGGAAGGTGGGAGGGAGAGGGAACTGGGACTGATATGTGAAATAAGATTGTTTCTAATTTAAATCACACACACACATGAAAATGCAGCGACCATTTCTTTGTGAGACTAACCATGATTGGCTAGCTTATTTCATTTCTAGACATCTAAATGCTCCTGTATCAATGGTTCTCAAAGTCTGGTTTCTAGAATCTTGAATTTACCTGGGAGTGATTCAAATGGAACATTCTTGGCCCCCTCCTCAAAACCTACTGAGTCAGCAACATGGGATCTCCTGAAGGTTCCAGAAGATTCTAGAGATGCCATTCTAGAGCCATTACTTTTGAAGTAAGGTGTTAGGAAGCATCTATACGCTGTGGCGTTGCCTTTGTAGATCCTCCACCTGTATCTAAATATCCCTCCAAAAGGAAGAATAAAACAGGGTAGGAACAGAAGCATCCTTCCAAATTGCCTCTTACCAGAAATGACAGTCGAGTCAGGCTATCATCAGAGTTGTCCTAAAATTATTGCTTGCCTAGTGATGTTCTCTCTCTCTCTCTCTCTCTCTCTCTCTCTCTCTCTCTCTCTCTCTCTCTCTCTCTCTCTCTCTCTGTGTGTGTGTGTGTGTGTGTGTGTGTGTGTGTTCATCTGTGCCATCACAGAAACCATACATGTCCAATTCATCAAAATTTCTGGTTTTAAGGCTTCTGGTTTTTGCAATCACATTGCACACCAATAGGCCCAGCACTAACAGATGAGGTGTGTATGCACGGAGGGGGGGTGGCTCTTAAGAGCTACTGCCCTGTAGGAACAGAAGACCTGTTACTTGATCCTTGAATCCATCCACCTACCCACGAAGCCACCCTCCACCTAACCCATCCTTCCAGGCTTCCATCTGTCCATCTACCCATTGACATCCCTCCACATCTACCATTTATTCGTCTATTTATTCATCTATCCATTGCAGAAATATATATTTTTTTAATCAGGTTAATTTTTCTCTTATCAGATACCACTGATTATGTCGTTTTCTTTTTTCCTTAGTGCATCTAAGAATGGCCCATTGATTTGTGACATCTGCCTGCCTCTGCCTCCCGAGTGCTGGGATTAAGGACGTGTGCCAATGCCAGCTGACAAGTCCACTCTTACTTGATTTTATTTGCTATGGTCACACTGCAGGTTACTGCAGACTCGGAAACAAAGGCCAGGCCTGCCCAGTCTCGCTCTTCCCCTCAAGGAGAACTGAACCAGAGGCTTGGACTTCAAGCCACTTCACTCCCTCAGGGGACACCTTGAAACTTGGTTGACAGAGGTGATAGTGTAGATGTTCAGTGGTTTATATTATTAAAACAGTAAGAATGCAAATACCCTTTTAAAATATAACTTTGTATCTCACTCACATCTAATTTCTAGTACCTAAAGCAAACTCAAATAAGTTGAGTTTTTTTTAATGCACAGATGCTATTTCCCTAATGTTGTATCAATTCATTTCAATGGTTCTGTAATTTGTCTACAAGGCTGAGTTACATCTGCCATTCTGGGGTGTGGTCCTTGCATGTTTCAATGTGGAGGTTTCTCTCTTCTTCCAGGGGTGCTGAAAGATCTACCGTTGTTCTCATCTTAAAAGGTATATCTACTTTCAAAAATGTTAGGAAATAAATGAAACTTAGATGCTAACATTGATTATGAGTAAGAACACAAGGAGACGAATAAACTGAGATAATGGGGTGGTGTTAGAAGATCTATAACCACCAGGCAGTTAGTTAACAATAGAGTGAGACAGTTATTAGAATTTCTCCCTGGAATTGGGAATAGAGGCTGTTCAGTGGAATTTTTTCTAACCTCAAAAAAGTAAAACAAGGTACGTGCTGAGTTCAGTATTTGAGTGACAGTGAAAAAGCCATCACTTAGCAACCCAGCTACCAATGTTCCAAGCCTTAACTCTACACTTAACATTCCAAAACGTGGTTTAGAAAGAGAGGCAGAGACACAGAGACAAAGATAGAAACAGAGAGAAGGAAGGAGGCGGAGGAAAAAGTAAGTAAATCTCAGGAAAATGGATGCAAATAGGGACCCACATTTCTGGATACAGAAATGCTCTGCCTGCACCATGTTGATGGGAGAAACGAATCTGTGGTATAAAATTCAATTGAAGGGCTCTGATGTGAATTAGCTCTCATATTAGTTGAGTAAAATTTGAAAGGAAACCAGTTGATATGGAACAGCTGTGCCATTTTTATTGAACAATAATCAGTTGCTCTTCAACAAATAAAAGAACCCAACAGCTGATTCTGCTTACATTCAAGGATCTTCAATACATTCACAACTCTGTTGGCGAACTTTGAGAATAAAATATAAGTAAATAATGAAATAATTCTTAAATAAGATCTTCACGGCAAATAAAATACTTTTGCAAATATTTCCCAGCATCACCTAGTGCTACAGCCCTTTTTGTGCGAAGGTCCTCCTGTATATAAACCCAGACCCATTCATCTACCAAGTGTGAAAGGATTAAAAAAAGTGAAAATAAACAATATCTTAAAATCAATACTTTCCCTCACAAAGACTAACTCTCCTTTCCAAAACTGTCTAAAGTTATCTTCTGATTTAAATTCAAATTTCACCCAAGACGCAGCATTAGCTTTTCAATATTTTATAAGCCTATATTAACTACGTGTTCATTAATATTAATTAAATCATTAGTAACAAGTTTTCCATATATGGGTATTTGAGAACCATATATGTTATATACTTTCCCCCCTAATCATTTTAAACAACATTAGGGTCATTTCTCTAACATTTGGGAGAAGTATGGGTGTTGGAGAAATATTTAAACTAACAGATTTGTTTATAAAAAATACATAAATAATCACCTTCGCCCTGTTCTGTCCCTCAGGAGGCAGACTGCTTCCTAGATCTCTCAAGGCCCACAGCGCTTAAGCCAGTAGTGGGAGTATATATTCATCCTCTGTCCGGTCCCCCCCCCATCTTACCTCCCACCTCCATGAGGTGCAGGCAGCGTAATAACAACATTTCCATGCATGGCAGCTGCTCCCACCAGCTTCCAATATCTTACTTCCTTCAAGGCTTTTCTGGTCTTGTTTCCCCAGATTAAAACAAAATAATAAATTTTAAGCTGCCACAAGGAAGAACTAAATGGTATTAACCCCAACTTCTGCTACCTCATCTTCTTTCTTCAACCTGTACATTCAACAAGAATGTATACCCAAGTCAAAGGACACATGGTTTCTCCAGCTTTGATCAGATTACTCATTAACCATAAGACCATCTCAATTGCACGTTTAGCCCCTTGGTGACATCGCCCACACACTCACACGCACATTTAACAGATCTATATGCATTTAAAGATTTAACATATATCTAAAAGTATTCAGTCATATTGTTTTATGGGTTGAATATCGCCTATATTTTTTTTTTGGATCCTCTCCCAATCACTCTTGATCTCCATCAAGTACATGTCCATAGTCTCTGCTCTAGACAGCTCTTAAAATGTTGGTTGAGTGTTGGTCATTGAAGTGGAGCCCGGATCAGCGTGGATTTAACCATTTCATTACAGACGGCCGAGCGACGTTGCCTTCAGCGATCTCTTCTCTCACAGCATTGCCATCCCCAGACGCCGCGTCACGCTCTGAAAGTAGAGGGCACACAAGTCATGTCCAGACATCTATAAGTTAAAGGCCAAGCATGGGTTTGCTTTATTTTGGTTTTGTCTTTTAATGAAATTTAAAATAAGGTGATTCAAGATTCTCTGCTAACTCTACTTAACAGCTCTGAACTGCTCTTCCAGTGAAGACAATGCCCTTTGCAACATTTCTCTCTATACCTACCATCACCCATCCTCTGTATGCATGTAGCTCTTCTCTCCCTGGCGTTATCTCTCTCTGTTCCTAGAATTCCAGCTTAATAAAAGCAGGGCTTTCTTTCACTTGCTGTTTCCTCCACTTGTTCACCCGTACCCCCAACATGGATAGCAATGCTTGGAACATGATAGATGCTCAATACATGACCAGTGAATGACCAAATGCTGCACGAATTGATCTCTTAAAAAGACTTTTATGTGACTGGGACAATATATGAGGCCATTGGCAATGGGTCCAAGATCTAACACCAATTCACAAACTGACTCTGTGGAGCCCATTCTGTATGGAGAGACACCTTACTCAGCCTAGACACAGGGGTGTGGGGGTGGAGAGGCGCCTTGGTCCTGCCTCAACGACATTACAGGACAGACTTAGTAGGCTTCCTAGAGGAGGCCTTTCCCTCTCTGAGGAGCAATTGGGAGGTGGGAGGGAGTGGGGGGAACAGGAAGAGAGGAGGGAGGGGGAACTGGGATTGTAATGTAAAAAATAAATTTAAAAAATTTTAAAGGAATGTATAAGAAAAAAAGATTTTTATATTCACTGGCATAAAAATGATTTCACTTTTTGGTATAACTCCGGAAGGCATCTATCCTTCTGTTCTTTATGCAAGAAAGGTTTATAAGGTTTAGAATTTTCTAAAGGGAACTATTGTGCTTCTAAGAGGAGTGAGACATGCTTGTGTCCACAGGGTAGGTTCTAGAATAGAATGGTGAAAGATTAGTGTGTCCTGCCAAACAAACGGGTATAGAGCATTCTTAGGCCTCACCCACTCATTAAAAAATGGGACTCGTTAATTCCTATTATTGGGCACTGACTGCCAAAAAAGAATAAAGACTTAAAACTGAGGCAGGTAGGATCAGTGACCCCACCTGCCATCAGCAGGTAGCAAGTTGAAGAAGACCCCATGTAATTGGTGGACCTGAGACAATTCGTCTGCTCTCAAGTGGTGGGCTCAGATGGGTGTGTGCGGTGGTAATATGTGAAGCCTGTGGCAGAACTAGGGGGCCATGTTTCCCCTGTGGACTCTAAGACACACACAGGCAAATCCCATGTAGACAAGGCACAGCCAAACAGGGCAGCCAGTTTACACTTTTCAGACATTCTTCATCCCCTCTTGAACCTGAGGTTGACAAAGATTACTTGAGTAAATGTCTTTTTAATAACACCAATACAAAAAGAAAAAAAACAAACTGATTTTATTTTATGTTTCTAGTTGGAATCTCCATACCTAGTTTTGATTAGAAATATTGTTGTGTGTGTAACTTAATATATAGTGAACATCCAGTGGCAGAATAACTTTATAAGACTTCTATATAGTAGCCAAGAATTTGGTATCTGACTTAATGTTTAAAAAGAAAAAGAAAAGATAAAAGAAGCTAATAAATGCTAAAAAAGCTAAAATAGATCTCAAATCTGTTCTGTAAACAGCTCCTTCGAAGAATTTCCAGACCCAAGAGACAGCTTGGTCGTCTCCATTGATAGATTCCAGGAACTGGGAGAATGGGGGGGGGGGGCGGGCAGTGAGTACTGTGCTAATCAAAAGGTTCTGGAACTAGATGGAGGCCATGGTTATGTAATACTAGATATGCTCAGGACCCTAATGGGTTTTGTCTTCCAGTGTTATATGAAAACCATATAAACAACTAGTCAAGTCTTAAGCCCCCATTTTTTGCTTTGCCAAAGACTACAAAGATAAAACACATGATTTCATCTGTTGTCTCAGCCTCCAGATTATTGTCCACAAAGATATTCATCTAATAAGTTAAGATTGAACACACAAGACCAGAGTCATACTCAAAACTGCCAGTTGACTTAAAAAGCACAATATCTGAAGACGGTAACAGGAGAAATTAGCACATTTGCTGAATTTCACACTTTAGTTAATTTCAATGGCAAAGGGCCAGAAACACAACTTAAATCAAATTGATCTGAGTGACTATGTTCTATCTGGAGGAGGTAAAGTGTATTGATTAATGAGTAGTTGTTGTAGCTAAATCTTGAGGGCTTACCAGTGAAGGCTCTTTCTCTCCAAATGCCTCTAATAACTGTATGTCATGAACTTTGCCTTTTAATTTTATTTAGCTATGAATGGAAGATTGTGTGAGTATTTTACCGTAGAAGCAAGAGACTGCTCTGAAGCTGAAGTTACAGGCGGTTATAAACTGCCTGGTGTGGATGCTAGGGATCGAACTTAGGACCTCTGGAAGAGCAATGCAGTCTGTTAGCCACTAAGCCATCTCCCCAGCCCCAAGAGTGCAGGGGTTTTAATTAACTTTTAATCGTGGATATAATTTGATTGTAAAGTGATTAGATTAATGAAATTAACATATCCATCACCTCAATACTTACAGTTTTTCATATTTTAAATCTAGTCTTTTAACAGTTTTGAAACATATAACACATCATCATTACCATTCATTCTGTTCACTGGCAGAATAAGCTCTAATGACAGAAGTCATTACACGTATCGATTTCATTTGGTATAGTCATGTTACATGAGCACGCCTAGCACCACCTCACAGCTGTGCACGGCTCGAGGCCGCGCAGCTTCTCACAGCAGCACCTAAGCATTGCTCCCGTTCTACTATTCCCAGGGTCTCACACGGGGATTCATTTTTACCAGCTCCAAAATCCATGGAAACACAATTTTTCCATTGTATTGCTTCCACTTGATGAAGGAAGAGGGGAGGGAGGGAGAGGAGGGGTATGTTCTGTATCGTTTCTCGTAACTCTTAAAGCGGATCCAACAACTACCTCACTGCCTTCTTTCTCTGTGGAGTTGGGAGGGAAATCGTTTTGTCTAGCGAGTCTATAAAAACATCGTCAACGAGTTCCAAGAACTTCGCACGTCTTGGTTGCTTTTTATGGAAGATTTGTCTTCGTTAATTCATTAAAGTGTAATAAACTTTATGAGAAACCCTAGCAACCTCAGAATTGTCAATGAGATTTGTCTTGAAAATAGCAACAGCCACCAAACTCAACCACTGCCCATCTCTCCCCCAAGGGAAACAAAGAAACAAGCTCATTCAGATAGACACCACATTTACTGGTTTTCCCATCCGTTTGAACTGAGATTAAGGCCACCACTTACCTGTGTGCGAGGTGGCAGTCCTGCTGGGCGACTTGGCTGCTGCATGCTGGAAGAAGGGAAACTCCAGACATCTCCCGGTCACCCTGTCACATATGCCCGACTGGCAGTTGCAAATCTCTTTGCACTCCATCCCAAAAGTGCCATAGGGACAGTCTGCAGGCAGAGTGGGGCTTAGAGAGACCACTGCTTGTTAAGCATGAGACTCCTCCCTCCCAGCCCTGATAAAAGCAAATCACTCCTCAAAAGCCCCAGAGTTTGAAAATTGAGGTCATAAATGTGAAAGCACAGGGTAAGGCCAGATAACACCTGCCTCTGGCTTAAGTTCCTGATGCAAAGCCTAAGTTAACTACGTGTAACCAATGGCCTTATGCTAGACTTCTGAACCACTAGACTTTCTTTACCTGCTTATTTATTCAGAGAGTGTGAGTGTAGGTATGTGTACATGCATGTGTTTATGTGCTCTTGTGTTTGTGTGTGCATGTGCATATGCATGTCTGTGTGTGTACATGAATGCTCGTGTGTGTGTGTGTGTGTGTGTGTGTGTGTGTGTGTGTGTGTGTGGCGCATGTGTGGAAGTCACGGCACAACTTGAGTTGGTTCTCTCCTTGCGTGTGGGCCATGAGGCTTACACTTGGGTGTTCATGATTGACAGCAGGTGCCTTTACCCACTCGGGCTTCTTGCCAACCACACCCTTAATTCTTTTTGTTTCCTGGGTAGATAACAGGTTATCTTGATCACAGGTTATCTTGATCACAGCTCAGTGAAGATGGGAAATTAAAGAGACATAAGCATTACCTCCTCAAATAGTTTGATAGCTGTGTGTCTTTAATCTACAGAGGTTGACAGTTTACTGTTTTTCAGGGCTAAGAGGCCCTCTGACTGTAAAATACCCAGTTCCAGTCTGCTCCCACACTTACAAAGCTCCTTATCTCTCGGGGCAGCACTAGGCCTCCACCAGCTCTCCCCCCCCACCCCCCAGCTCTTAAGAGGATTCACTAATCAAGCTCTCAGAAAAGATAAGATGCTAAGTGAGCAAGAAAACTTGGCTTCACATGCCCGAGGACTCGCACACCTACCAAGTACGAGAAGCTTTCAGTGTATAATACTTAGACTGAGAAATGCTACAACAAAATAAAGATGTCTGTCTCATTAAAAGAGCAGGGTTTGTGGTATAACAGTATCTCAGGAGTTAACTCAACAACATCCAGATACAACACTCGCTCTCAACCCGTGGGTCGCGGCCACTTTGGCAAACCTCCATTTCCAAAAATATTTGCATTATAATTCATAACAGTAGCAAAACTACAGTTATGAAGCAATGGATATACTTTCTACAGCTGGGGGTCGGCGCAGCACGAGGAACTGTAGTAAAGCATCCAAGCATTAGGAAGGTTGGGGACCTTCGTAGGCTGTATTCCTTCAGCATGGAGATGTCCTTGCTGATGCACAATCGCTCGGGCATAAAGACAAGGCGCTGGTGTTCTGCCGCCCAGCAGTGCCTCATGATCAAGGTGGATGTGCATAAAGTAGGTCTTGAAGCAGGAAACACTGTTCTTTCCCTGTTGCTCAAAAGATGGAGCGCTCTGCCGCTATACACCCCGTCACCCTGGGAAGAAAGTCCCTAAGAAAGACCTGGAAAACTCTTCTGGCAGAAAATCACAGGGTAAGGATGTGACTGTCTTCAGCAATACTGAAAATGAAAACCTTAACCCCCTTCCCAGTTCCAGGTCCAGGGTGCCCCCCCCCCGGTGTGCCGTGTGCCAATCAGATAGTAAACATTCTATAAATAAATGCTGACTTCCCAATAGATAGCCAGCAACTTGGGGCCAAGCATCTAAATGCTGACCAAAACAAGACAAAAAATCTGGAATTCACCTGCCGAAATGGATAACACCCCACACACTCTATTATTCCAAGCATTTTTTAAAAAAAATTGGAAACTGAACTCACCAGCAATGCAGAGGATGCCAGAAAGAGCAATTCAAAATAGATTGTTAATGGCAGGCATAGTTCACTAACCTGTGCCCCAGAGCTGGATTCTTTACCCCATGTCACTGTCCATTCATAACCGCAATTCCAAAGGTGTTTCCATGCCAAAGGAAAAGCAGTTCCCCCTACACACACACATATACTGGCTATATCATAGACAGGACTGGGTTAAACACCTCCTCCCCAATTTCCTTATGTGAGGTGCTGCTTTCTTGGCAGATAAGCCCTGTAATAGCCACAAAATACAGAGCCTATTCGGTTGAAAGAAATGTGTATATGTATGCTCACCAAAATAAAGTATTTCCTCAGCAGCTCACCTCTTGTCAGTCTTAACCAAAAATAATGTAAGCAAAGAATAAAAATCTCCATGGTTTTTCTGGAATTTCTTTCCAAGGCTTCCATTGGTTTTACAGACAAAAAAGATGGTCAATTTATAAGCTATTCTCTAAAATGAGAACTAATGACATTGTCTCAGTTCTGGGTGATGGCCATTCAGGGGAAGATGGAATTATATTAAGCACATAGAATATGAGTTATGTAGAAATTCCTCAGAACTTCTTTTTCTGATTTGGGTGGCTTCTTTGTGTTATATAAACTGCATTGTCTTTTAATCACAATAGAATGTAATGATGAGATTATATGGCATGTATGTATGGGAGACTTTTTAATGACCACTTTTTTGTGGTATTTATTAGCACTTATTTGTGATATTCACAAATATCAATTTCTTCACTAAGTTTGAAGATAAGTTCCACAGATACATCAATGAGTCATTTAGTTATGGTCCCTGTCTTGATTATCATTTTATTTTTTAAATCTCTAAAACAGCTCCTTTTAATAGACTTCTATTATTTCTGCTAGTCTTACAACATCTGCTGTTCTCTGGCTAACTGAAGATTTTTTTTTTTCAAGTAAAATTAGGTTTATTTTGTTCTTCAGGGGACCCTCTTGCATGAACCTGAGTTATTTCGTTGGCTGACTTTAGCCCGTGTTAGTGTTCAACAGAAATATTTGAGCTCGAGAGGGGCACTCCTCCCTGGGAACTCTTTCCAGATCAAAGGCTGGTGAAATCTGGGGCTAGAAACCACTCTAAGAGGTTATCTCTGGAGGACCTCTGTAATCAACCGCTTGGGAAGAAAGGACACCTAAACCATCTGAAACAGACTACCTGCCAAGTTTCTAAAGGCTTCCAGAAAAGGAAACCGCACAAGCGACCTCTGCAACTTTCTCGGATCTGAGTGCGGGTGGAATGTTGCAGCCCCTGCTGTGATTCCTGCCCACTGCATCCCAAACCTTTCCGCAGCTAAGCTTCTCTCTACCAAACACACCTCCCGCATCTGCGCATCCTCCCTGGTAGTTCAGAGGAGGAAAGAGGAGGACCTGTACCTCCCAAGCAGACAAAATGCCCTCGGGGAGCCCTGCGCAGTGGGAAGCAAGGGGTTGCTCTTTACCTTTGCAGATACCAAACTCGTCACCAAAATCATCCTCTTCACTGTAAAAGTGACACTTCAGCCCTGGACCACACTTGACGCCATCCATGCCTGAGACGGTGCGGTAGCAGGTTTCTCCGGGTCCGGCTGCACACACATGACAGCAGCCACAGTCATCCAGCACTGTCCTCTTGCAACGCAGGCTGCCTCTGCATTCACTATTGTCACAGTGTTCTGGGCAATCCACTGCATACTTGGCGCTCCAGGCCATAGCCAGGTGCACAGGTAGGAAGAATGTGGTCAGCAGTAAGAGGCTCTTCATTTCTCCCAGCAGGCTCCGGCTCAGCTCCCTGCTGTCGTGGTCTTTGCTGGCGGGAAGCAGCCGTCCAAAGTAGTAGCTGAGCTTCTGCCTACACGTTTATGAGTTTTATACACTGTGTTGCCCGCATGCTTCCCCGTCATCAATTTCCTCAACCCAGCGGCAGCGCTGAGCTCCTGCCAGCCTCTCTTGTTTTAGTTTATGAAATCCAGGATGACGGCTGGATTAACACGCCGCTGCCATCCAGGAATTGAAAAGCCCAAGCTGATGTCATCTGTTATGTTTAGATGGTTGTTTTGCATGAGGGCTGAAAAACTCCACTCACATCCGTCTCAAGGACTCAAGGACATCTGGGAAGGGGGAATAAAGAAGGCTGCAATGCCCCTTTCTGCACAGGAATTGCTCTGACACCAGTGCAACACTTAGGATGCAGCTTTGTCCCTGTGTCCCTTAGTCCCGAGGAAACTGATGCAGACACGTATCAAGCCAGAACAAGCGTCTATCAAATAATAGTAAGCATTTGGTATTTCTCCTCAATAAATAACTATGAGATCATTTGGAAGAAGAAATGGTTATATTGTGCTTTTCCAAGACTTAGAAGAAAGAAAATATTTGGATAGAGGCCTCTAAAGACTTCTTCCTTGCTTACACACGCTGGTTATTTCTAAAGCAATTAATGCTGTCTGTGTTCAAGTCTGTGTTTAGCTAGATGTGCAGCAGGTTATCAATACCAAAAACAAAAACAAAACAAAAAGAGGTAAGGTTGTCCTGACATTGTTTCTGAATTACTCAGTTCTGGAAAAACTTATCAGCTGGGCTCTCCTGACCCAAACTCCCTGGGCAGAAGGCTCATCCATCAGAGTCTGTTTGCCCAGTGATTGCATCCATTCAGTCCTTCCGCTCACCTTCTGGCATCTGTCAGAGCTCTTGCTTAAAACCGCCAAACACAGCAGTGAGCCCAAAGAAGCAAGCGAGCCAGCAGGGAAATGGGAACAAGGCATAGGGAAGGGAAAACATTACCCACCAGGAAATAGGGTCTTTATGCTGTGGAGGCAAAGAGCATAGCCCCACCAAGGAAAACAATAGCCCTCTCAAAGTGTTGGCTGGACCAGGACCTTTTGTAGCAAGGTTTATGCACCAGAGAACGCAAGATGTCAGAGAAGACAGGCAAGGCTTCACACTGAATGTGTTCACTTTTAAGGTCCCCACCCCAATGTCAACCTAGAAATAAAGCCACTGCCACTTGGTAAAGGAAGTGTCCCAGTGAAGTAGGTAACCCCTGCCTGTCACAAAGAGACTCTGGGGCACGCACAGAAACCCTCTTCCTCCTCTGAGAGCACTTGGCTCTGGAAGTCACGTACCCTCTAAAAGATGAGACGTCAAAGCCATTGGGTGCGACACGATGATTAAGTTTTGCCAGTATACATTGGGGGAATGGAGACAGAAGCAGCAAAAATTCAAGGGACTGTGGAACTGGGAAATGAAGGCAAGACTTTTAGCTCCCAAATTTCCCGACATTTTCATGACCTTCTAATTTGCAATACTCTGTGCTCATTTCTCCTGGAGCAAACGTGTATTTTGCAGGTGGGACACTCATTGTTTGTAACAGCAGGAGAGGTCTATTAAGTCCACAGCATGTGCCAAGCACTGCTCTTTGTGTATATACAACTTATATAAAGTAATTCATTATGTACTGACACACAGTAATCCATTTTGACATTTCCATATATGTGATATACTGTGATCAAATTAAACCCCTTGATTGTCCCAATTTTAAACATTTTATTAATAAGTTTATTAATCATTCCTCCACATAACTCCTCCTAAATCCACCCAAAGTAAACCACTGACTCAAATTTGCATTGCCCACACACTTACAGGTATGGGATCATCCCTTGAACCCTAGTCAACCTACCAGAGGTTGTACTCGTAAAGAAAACTAACCTTTCTTCTGACAGAAACCAACAATTGTCAGTAACTCCTCGGCTACAGGAGGGTTAGGGACTCAGGAGCCTGCCTTTCCTCCATACTGGAATACTGACTGGCTTGGTCTCCTGCTGGTTTCCATAGCTGCTGAGCTCAAGTGTAGAGGTCTTGTCATTCTAGAACACATTGTTTCCCTCCAACTCTCCCAGACCCCTGACTGTTACCACCATTCTCTTCCTTCATCCACAGTGGTCTCTGAGTCTTAGAGGGTGGGGTGTGGTATGTGTTTCCTTTTGTGGCTCAACAGACACTCCTTTGTTTCTCCATCATTTGGGAGTTTCTTCATTAACCACTGCCCACTACACTTAAAAATCTCCACTGGGGTCTGAGCGGTGCTTGAATCTACTGGTTCTATTACCCTTGCTTATTCCTCCTTCCAGTCTCCCTTTTCCATCTCTATTCACTTTTATTTGTTTGTTCCCTACATTTCACATATTGGGAAAACATGGACTTGCCTTTGTGCGACTGATTTCTTAAATGTTTTTCTGTTTTCATGAACTCCCATGATTCCCCCACCAAAATACTATGAAGCTACTATAGGTCACCACATATAACCTTCAAAGCAACACAAGGAACTAGGTATTATTATTCATAACTCCATCCTAGATGTAAGAAAACAGGTGCCTGTAGAGGTTAAGTAACTGCTCTAACATCTCAGAGTCATAATTGTTAGGACTCCAGGTCTAAGGCCAATGGGCTCCGGACACTAGAACACAAACTCCAAAATCAAATACATGCAGGTGACAAAAAAGTCACCCAGGTGGATGAAATATGGGGCTGTGCCAGTATAAGTCCCAAAGTACACGTTTTCAACCTGAAGACCATACAAACCATGAACGCGTCCCACGTAAGACAAATGAAAACCAAACAACACCATGTTTGGTAAACGCACCGGATAGAGAAAGTGTACATTAAGGGTACCAAATCCATAACACTGTGCCAGCACAGTTCACAGAAGAGAGCACAAAGCAGGATTGCCAGAGTTCATCCGTGAAGAAATTATCTCAAGGCATACATCACACCTAACAAGTTATTTTGGGGGAGAATCGTCATCACTTGCTTCTAAGTCTCCACAAAAACCTCTTTGACATAGCAACCCTGATGGGATTTTTACATTTCGAATTCTTCCAACTTTTCAAGTAGTGAAGTTACCAATAACCCAAAGGCCATGAGGGGATCACAGCATCATAATCAAGAAGCCAACCTCAATCTTCAGGCGGCAGAGAGAGAGGAGGGTAGAGTCAAGGCTGGAGTACCTAAGGTCTGCCTGGCTGACTAGATTTGTACAGGCATCTGGCACATTCTAATTCTGCTCAGCCTGCGCAACCGCTGTCAAGATCGAAAAAGAACAAACCCTCACAGCTCTAAGAAAGCAAGTTCAAATTACAATGAGTCAGTCCAAAGGTGATAGCAAGTGGTCTTCCGGAGGAGAACGGAGAAATGATTCGAGCAGAGAGCTTGTCAGCCCAGTACATCCTGTACACTTTAAGAGTCACTGTGATTCTGTCCTCAAACTCACGGCCCTAACCATGTCGTATGCACTGAAAATTTGTGCATTATTTCCCACATAATGATTGCTTGTAATAAGATAGCAAGCCTTTATTTCTGGATAGACAAAGATCTGGTGGAAAAGGTCCTGTGTGCTTTCCAAACCCTCAAGAGATAGTTCATGGCCAAGTCAATTGTACCATATTAACTGTGCCTTCTGAACAAACCGTCTCTACCAGATAAAGTTGATTTGATTTAAATTACAAAGGCAGACTTAAAGGAGAATGTTGCCAAGGAGAAAGTGGAAGCACTTACAAGAATATTTTAGGTATATTAGAGATGATTTTCAGTTTAACTTTCTTTGTGTGCGGCGAGCGGGGCGTCTAAAATCTCCCTGCTTCCTATCATCTCTAACATTCCCGGAAGTGCCTGGTGCAAGGCCTAGCACGGAGTAGCACCTACTAACTTCATAAACACTGTCTTCTATCACTTTCTTCCTACCAAGAGAATTAAAGTCAGGGTCGGGCTCTTGAGCAGGTTCTTGACGTACAGAACAAAACTGTTCTCCCAGAGGAAGGAGACACAGACTTCAAGAAAGAAGCCATTAATCAGACTAGACTGTTACTCCATCATGTCAGCTCCTATGTAGACACTTCGTCCTCTTGACATGCCAGCCTTGGAAGTGTGCGGAAGCCCCTGCAAGTCACAGGACCCGGATGAAGGACACTTGCAGCAAGCTGAGAACCATGGTGGCCACTGGTTAGCTGTCTAAGTCAAAGACATGGGAACAGTTTCCAGGTGTTCTAGAAACATCTTAGCTACTACCGAACTTTAGGGTCCTAAGAAAGCCACGTGCCAGATGATTTAGACCTCACCTTGATTCCTCAGCAGTGAGCTAGAGCTATGAGGGTATCATGACCATTATGAACAAGAGTCTAGTTTCAGAGAGTTTGCGTTGGTGTGTGTGTGTGTGTGTGTGTGTGTGTGTGTGTGTAATTGCTGTTTGCAGGTGTTTATGTGTGCACAGATGTATGTGTATGCCAGTACAATAGAGGGAAGATAACAACCTTGGTTACCATGCCTCAGGACCGCCCACCTTGTGAGATGGGATCCTTCACTGGCTGGGCTGGGTGGCTAGCCCAGTGAGCCACCAAGGATTTTCTGTCTCCAGTTCTCAATGCTGGGATTATAACCATATACCGAGACTTTGATGTTGAGTCTTGGGACCAAACTTGGGTCCTCATGCATATGAGAAAAACACTTTACTAAGATATCTCCCCAGACCAAGATTTGCTTCACTCTTTGGGAAAAAAAAATGAACTTACATATTGGAGCAAGTTTTTGTATTCCAAAAATGATCTCTACAGTTATCTAAGTTTTGATTTTTAAGAGAGGCAATTTATTTCAAGACTAAATGCAATTTTCAGACTAGTCTCAAAAACTCTATCTGCATAGAAAAGTAAGGTGAAGTACAGCATCTTAATTAGGCTTCTTGCAGGAATGCTGGCTCTTAGAGTTGTCCTCATGAGCAGGTCGGTGTAGCAGAGAGCTGGAGAACCATCAGAGTAAAGCGCCCTTCAAGAACCATAAGCATGAAGTCTGTATGTGAGCATGGAAAGATGAGCTGATGCCTACGGCGTCTGCTACCTTGCCACATCCAGACATTTCATTCCTGTGGGATCTATGGAAACACCTATAGAATCAGGTTGCTGGGTTTCTTAACCCCAGTAAAATCTAGAAACTTAACTTTGCTCATAAGGTCAGAATTCTTTAGGGCTGCATGGTCTAGACTTGGAGGCATATAAAGAGCTGTCTACTCTTAAGCCCCCCCCCCTTTGTTCCCAATTCTGACAG